GGGGGCTACGATTTCGGACACTCGTCTATAGGGGTTTTCGACAGAAAGTTTTTGATCGGAACCATATCGGTACCTTCAATAATACAAAAAGGTAATTAACAAAGTTTAGTTAATTATCCGATTTATTGTGACGTTTGGGGTCACTTCTGTGCCAAATATAATCCGGCAGATTATTGCACTGAATAATAGCAAGAAGAAATGAGTGGTTGGAGCTGAAAGTGGAACCAGGAATGCGACGTACACTAAGGAGGTTAAAAAGACGTCTGGGTGAACAATGGGAATGTAATAGCAGTGACTGTCTGAGTTGAGGGTGGTGATAAAGGATCTTATGGAAGAGACAGATGTGTTAAATTATACGACGAGTAATATGTGTGACAAGGGATAGAGAAGCCTTAATGGCTGATACACTGGCAGAACGCTCATAATTAGATATGCGGCACAATTTTGAATAGATTTTAAGGTGCTAGTGAGGGATGAGGAGACCAAATGAAGGCAGCATATTTAACCTTAGGGTGGACAAATGTCTCGTAGGCCAGCTGTCGTAGGCCAGGGAGGTCAGAGTGAAGGCATTGTCTGATATTGCCAAGGGTTCTGAAGTTTTGACATATATAGAGTTAATGTGTAGAGACTATGACATATGAGGAGAAAAATGACACCATGATTGTACACACTCGATTTTTCCAGTGCCTAGAGAATACTGGAAGAGAGATGGGGAGCTCTTGCGAGAGAAACAGAACAATTTACACTTAGGGTGGTTTAGTAACATAGGCCATTGGTATTCCTATTTGGTTATGTTTGCAAGGTCATTATGAAGGAGGAGATGATCGTTAATACAGTTTATTTGGCGATATATTACACCATCGTCGGCGAATAGAAGCATATTAGAGGTGATTGAATTTGGAAAGCCGTTAATAAACATAATTAAAAGGAGGGTACCTAGGACACCTGACGAGACACTGGTAAGGTTAGATTCTAATGAGTTTACAACCGTGTATTTGACTCTGGATGAATAAAAGCTGCGAATCCAAGACACAATTAAATTGTCAATATTGATACAGGAAAGATTTAAAAGGAGACGGAGGTAAGCAGTGCGATCAAAAGCTTTTGAGAAATCTAGAAAGACGCGTGTCCGTTCGGGATGTGAATCAAGGTTATCGTGCAGATCGTGAGAGAATTCAAACAGTTAGGTGTTTCAACTTGCGAAAATACCGTGCTGCTTATCAAAGACGTCGTTATTGGTTAAGCGATTCATAATTTTCGAATTAATGACGTGCTCTAGAAGTTTTGATGCAATGCACGTGAGCGATATTGGACGATAGTTACTGCGATGGGATCGATCGTCGCTTTTCTATAGAGGAATGACCCGACCAATCTTCTAATCTGTCAGAATGCAGCCGTTAGACAGTGATTGGTTAAATATTTGCTGAAGAAATAAACTAGAAATATATTTTGTATTTTTCAGTATCTTTGAGCAGATAGTGTTAGGGCCAAAGACGGAAGAAATCTTCAGCTTATCTATAAGTTTCGGAATACCAGCTGCAGTGACAGTGATTGGTGGCATGCGAGGAAGTTGAAGGGGAGAGAGGCAATTGATGTTATCTGGTGACTCAGTTGCGAAAACAGAGGAAAAATAAGCACGCATCGAATCCGGGGCAGTTTGTCATGCACAACGACACTAGTGTTGTCGTGCGTCAATTCAACTAATAAAGGATATATCCTTTATTAGTCGAATTGACTGGGAATGGGGTTTGGTTTAATTGTTTTCTAAAACTTATTTCGCTTATTTTTAAAGAATGGTGGGAAAATTTTGATGAAAATACTTCCTTTTCGAACTTTCAATCAATGTAGTGTACGCCTTAAGGCAGGAGAAGTACTTATCCCACACATGTGAGGAGCTGCTAAGTTTCGCTTTTTACAGCGGAGCTGTTTAGGGCTAGTTTCCCCAGGATCGTGTCCCCCGCAAAGAAATGAAGACACCGAACTCTGGACACCTACCGCTATCTATGAGTGACGGCGGCAAGCCACGTATCTGGTGGCCGCCGTCGCTCATAGATGGCGGCAGCCTTTCCAGTCTGCCTTGCCGACTGGCGGCCGGCCATTACTCTCCATTGTACAGCTCCGCTGGTCTTCCTTCTTCACAAAAGGGGAAAGGCTGAAAGCTTTTGAAAAAGGCATTTCTTTTTGTTATCAATTGATTTCAGCATTTTGTTATACATGCTCTACGTCGAACGTAGAGCATGTCCCAAGTCCGTCGCAAGCTACGACGTCGCGCGTCGAGCTGCTCAGCGCGGCGCCGCGTTCAACTTGACGTTGAAGTATAGACAGCCCGTTCGAATAGAGCGCCAGCGAGCGTGAACGAGCGCGTGCCCTCGTTGACGTTACGACGGAGTATAAACAGCCCTTAAGTGGCGAGAAAACAACGCGCGCGCAAGGCCTCGCCCACCCGTTCCACGCCCAAAACGTCAGCTACATCCTGTTCACCCATTGAGGCGCTGTGACCTCGATACGGCTCCCCCAAACTGGCCTTTGTCCCCATCGTGCGTAATCTTCCGCCCCGAAGTCGACAACGAAATAATCTTCCCTCTTTGCTCGGCCAGAAGAAAGAGAGAGAGGGTACTAGCACCATTTACTCTCGAACCGATGTTTCTACAAAAGGTCCATTCGATAAGCTACACACAACCACGTTTGTGCTGTCGAGGCACAAAATTCGTACCAAGTTCGTGTGCGAAACATAGCCTCCGAGCGAAAACCCGTGAATTGCGTGTTGCCACTGCCCTTTTTTAACAACTGCCTGGCACTGCACGGAAGCTTTCTTTTACGTTCACGCTCATTCTCTCTCGGAGATATATTTCGTCTTGCAATCATCGTCCTTCAACCCACCTAAGCCTTTTCACTATCTTATATATTGAATGAAAAAAACACATTGTGTATTCCCGACCTCTAATTCTTTTTGTTTTTTGGTTTGGGGGGGGGGGGGGGGGGGGGGGGAGGGGGAGGCGCTTGGTGTACTTATTGTTTAAGCGAATAATGCAAAATGATATACACTTCCCGTTTTTATTCTTTGATTCCCAGTGTAAATCTAGCTAGATATTAGCGATACGGGCGCGACTTCAGCGAATTAAACTGAATTTTTAATGACACGAATGCATAATTAAATCACAAAAAAGTAAAATGGGGTATGTTCTAGATTCTCCGTCGTGTATTAAATACGATGACCACACTAAAAAAAAATATTGTAAAATTAATGCATGCGGGCATATGGGTCGCAGCTACAATGGCCGTGTTATACGCCCCCATGGTTCCTTTAACTGTTTTGTACCTTTTCATTAACCACGCCAGTTTGTTTTAGGGTCATTGTTTTGTCGTTTCATATTTTCTATCTTGTTTTCTGAAATTTTGTATTTTCTTTGAAAAAGTTTCACGTTGCTCAATTTAATGAGAAGATAATCACCCGCATTTGGAACGCCTCTTAAATTAGCGGCTTCCACTTCGTTCCAAAAAAAGATTTGTACGAGAGCCTCTTTGTTTGAGGACTCTCAGGGATGATGAAGCGGTGCTGCGAAGAGTTAAGCGCTTTCGGTTTTTGTAGATAGCATGAAACTGGAAAGTTAAATTTCCGCGGAAGCTCACTTCGTTAAGTTTTTACTTTCACCGTTTCTTCTGATTCCACTTTCAATGTCGTGTTCGAGAAAAGTGGTTTCGGAAAATACAGGCGAGGTGCGAATTTACGACTGAGAACATATTTAAAAGTTGAAAGTGCGTCCGAAAAATTTTTGGTGCCTTCTTTCAACTGCGTGTTTCATTCGATTAAAAATTTTCGTGTTAGCGCCTTTAATCTTTCAGGATTTCAACTCGCCTCTTCGAGTTGCCGCTGGGGTAAGGGGTACGAGTTCTATTAAAAATGTACCTCTGGAAATAGTTTCTTTGCCAAAATGTGTGCTATAAATATAGAAGGCTGAGTTTAACTTTACAATGTTAACGCCATAAAGATGGTTCTAATATATACAGGTGGCTTTCTTTTAGCGCGAGAACTAGAGCAAATTGAGTTTTGTGCACAACGCATACGTATATGCTCTCTGTGACTTTAATAGCACTGCGTAGAACTTGTGAGATAAAGCATCAACGTGATTAAAAGGAACTCGACATGTTGAAACACAGCGAGCAACTGAACACGGTGAGGGGGGAAAAGACGCGCAAAAACACAAGTGCTCTCAAGTTGTGCGTTACCATGTCATGCGACGCTCAAATATGAAGCTCTTCACATCGGTGAACCTTTGAAATACGTGACAAGTTGAAAGATAAGATTGTATAGGGTGATTCATATGGCACCAACTTGATATACAAACAAGGTGCATGCAAGGGGAAATTATTCGGAAACAAAAAAAGTAACATGGACCAACGTGCTTGTGAAATAAATATTGGTGCGAATACCTGCCAATTAGAACCGATATAGCAGCAGAAAATGATGGTCCCACTTTATTTTAGGGTTCCCAATAGGTCCAGAATAAAACTTTATAATCTCAAAAGTTTCATTTTTTTTTAGTATTACATTAAGTTTGTAGGGTCGAAGGCTATCTGGTCTGTGATTCGAAATTCGAATGTCGAATTCGAATTTCGAAATTTTGATAATTCGAAATTTAGAATTTTCTTGTGCCATGAGCTCTGTCTTCCACTCAAATATCCAACATCACTCCAGTGTAGTACAAGGTGTTTCTTTTTTTAGGTTTTACAAATTTATTAACACAAACAACCGAGAAAGCTACACTAATGCTGTATGTGCGCGTGAGATACTATACATGCCTTGCAAGTGACGTCAGGATAGAAAAGGGACGGCGCCCCTTGCCATGTTGGTGGTTGACTGGCACCGCGCGTATGCCCACGGCACGGCTTTGCAACCGTTCGCGGCCCGCGCGACTGCAGAAATGCGTCGCCTTTTCAACAAAGGTACGTAATTCCAAGTTCAAACAACGTGTTCACGCAAATCTACTATGTTGTTGAGCGAGTATGCGCAGAAGTTGCCGGCGTCGGTGCGATCGCGCTACGAGGAGAAAGTGTTGATGTGCGGCGGCAAAGATCCACTCTCGCTGTCAGTTGACGAGACCGTGACCAATACAAGCGCGTATCCCAAAGTAGAAGAGTGCGACGTGAAGGACTATCTTGTCGGCAAGACAAGCTTTATTACGCGGGAGCAGTTCAAGGCACACAAGTCACTGGAATCGCACAATTATTTGACGAGTGGGTGGGTTCAAGAGCCGCGACTGAAAGTCCTTCCAAACAACGATGTTGTCGTGATTGGCAAGGTAAGAGACTTCCAATCTAACCATAACGAAATTGCATGTTCCGGGTTGTTCGTTAAAGATCTGTCAGGCGTTCACTGTAGGTTGTAGGGTAACTGGGCATTCCGTAAAACGGGGGCGGGGGCGGCGACGGCGGCGGCGGGACCACAAAGGTGGCTAGTTCTGTGCACGTAAGCAGACGTTCAGATGCGCGAGTAGGTTCGACCGGTACATCGGGAGTCACTCTTTGCACATTAAAACATCTGCCTACAGTATCTATGTTAAAAGGTCGCTAAATGTAGTAAAATCTTTCTCTTTAATATTTTGTAGGTGAACCACTCCCAAAGTACAAGGGAAACTTGCCTGCAGCCATGGATACTAGTGAAGCAGGACGGTGAAGTTGTTGCTGCCCATTGCACCTGTATGGCTGGTCTCGGAGAGGCCTGCTCTCACATTGGTGCAATCTTATTCTACCTTCAAGTGGCGGTGAAGCACAGAGACTCACTAACTTGCACTGACAAAGAAAATGAGTGGCTTCCAGCATACTGCAACAAACTGACATGCGTTCCAATAGCGAAAGTTGACTTCTCATCTGCAGTAGCTAAGAAAAGGCGAATAAATGAGGGAAAGCCATCAACAACTTTAGCACTGCGCCGACAAAGACCGACTCCATTGAGACCGACCGACGAACAGTGGAACAAGTTTTTGGACGACGCTCAAGCATCAAATTTAAGGCCAGCCTTCCTTTCGCTTGTTGATGGCTATGCAGAGTCCTACGTACCGACAGCTGCAAAGTACAAGTCCGCACTTCTGTGCACTTTGTTCAAGGACTGCGTAGCACCATCATGGGAAGAAGTCTCCGAGGAATGCGACAAGTTGGCAAGCAACATCAGAGTTGAACGAGAGGTATGATCCGTGGAAATGTGATGTTGGCAACGTTTCCCTAATTTTTCTCTTTTTGTGCAGGTTCTTCACCTTATTGAGAAAGAAACCAGAGCCCAGGCATCATGTAGGAAATGGTTTTCATTTCGTGCCGGTAGGGTGACTGCATCATGCGCGAAAGCGGCCTGCTCCACATCAATAAAAGACCCCTCACCAAGCCTGGTGCAGAGGATATGTTATCCCAGTAAACACATCTTCACCACAGTAGCGACAACTTGGGGCATTGACAATGAACCCCGTGCAAGGGCACAGTATGTTGAAGCAATGACTAGTCGACATTCAAATTTCATGTGTTGCGATTCAGGCGTGCACATCAGCTTCGAACACCAGTTCCTCGCAGCTACACCTGATGGAGTCGTGAGTTGCGATTGCTGTGGTGCAGGCGTACTCGAGGTGAAGTGCCCGTATAGCCTGCGAGAGTGTACTGTCTTAGAGCTCACTTCTTGGAACAGCAGTAGTATCACTTTGCCCGATGGAGATGTCCTCCAACTAAAACGAAAACATGCACATTTTTGGCAAGTACAAATGCAGATGTTTGTGTGCCAGGTGAAGTATTCAGACTATGTTGTCTGGACGACGAAGGAGATCTTTATTGAAAGAATCTTTCTAGACAATGACTTTTGTGCAACAATGTTGCTGAAGAGCACGCACTTCTTCAAGCGCGTGCTGTTGCCAGAGCTGCGATACTGGTATACGTCACAACCTGTACAGAAACAGACATACTAGAATGTGGGAGACAAGGACGTCTACTGTCTCTGTGATGGGCCAGAGTATGGCAAGATGGTAATGTGTGATAACCCGCAATGCATACGAAAATGGTACCACTTTGCATGCATCGGCATGAAGAAAGCACCACAAGGCCAATGGCTGTGCAAAGAGTGTAAATAAAAAGAAGCACCACGAGGCCAATGGCTGTACAAAGATTGCAAATAAAGAAAATTGTGTTCAAACGAAAGAAGCAAAATGTTGTTTATTTAGACCTTATCATTAGGTTTCCCTTCTCAAAGAAATTTTTTCTACTAATTCAGGGGCATTTGTTTTCTGTCCATATATTGTGTTCATTCTCGATGTGGCATTGATAGAAACTTCTGCTGTAAATGAACTTCCATCTCTATAAAGCATCTTTAGGAGAAAATTATACCTAATAAACGCACCTTTTTATTGCAGAATGGGGAAATGGAAACAATTTAGAGACTATGCAATAATTACTCACCCACAAAAATTAAAATATTGCATCATGACACTCCTAGCAATCCCAAAAGTGCCCCATGATGCACATCAAGGAGCAATTACTTAAGCTTGTTGAGAACAATCACAATAAACAACACGCTGTCAATAACTCGCGTGCTACATACGGCACTCGTTGTAAGCTTCGAAAACGAGCAAAAACAAAAAATGCACATACCTTGTTCGCTCTTAACTTAGGAAAACATAGCATAGAAAACGGGACAACGCAGTTCCTGACAAAAGAAAAAAAAAGACAGCCTTGCAGACAGTTTAGTGAAGGAAGTGTTCCAAGTCGCACACAAGCAGAGTTAATCAAATTGTACAACAGAGCTGCAAGCACTCGTCAAAGCACAACAAACAAAAACTATCTTGTCCAGTGTGGTTGCATCATCCTCATGAACTGCAGAGAGCATGTCTACAGGCACGATACTCTTGGTTATCATATACTTGTTCCTGAGGAGTCCTATCACTCTTTCTACATGAATGCGCACATTGGCCAGCTTCCTCGTGGCCTCCACATTCCAAGGCGCTAGCTGGGCTTGTCCCCTGGTGAATGCCGGCATCTTGAGTCGTGCAGAGCAGAGGCCAACTGACTCCGCGATGGTGAAGCCTCTGTCAGCAAGGACCAAGTCGCCAGGCTGCAGGTTACCCAGAATCCCGCAGCTTTCAGTGATGAGCTTGTCGCTCGAGCGGCCGCACCACCCCCTAAAAATGTAAGTTACTGTTCCTTGAGGAGCAATTCCAATTAGGTATTTCACCGTATTGTGGTGTTTATATTGGCTCCATGTGAGGCACCGGGCAAGATGCGAGGTTGGACGCTCGATGAAAATCTCAAAGCAGTCAAGAATGACTGCGACGTCGGTACTGAAGGCAACACGGAAGCACATCGGCATGGTGTGCACGAGCTGCTCTCTTGTCGGCCACCTGACCAGTCTTTCCAGGCCGAAGTACAGGCCGTCGATCCACTTCATCACAATCCTTGAGACGGTGGCTTCGGAGACGTCAAACCTGTGATGACAGAAAGGAGGAGGAAGTATAGAAAATGAAGACCGAGTGGTCAATACAGACGAAAAAAGAAACATTAATAGCCTTTGGAGATTGAGACAGGCCAATACAGGTTGTAACACACAATGTAAACTGTGCATGTTTTCTGACAGATAAACAAAATACAATACCTGAATGCCAAGTCCCGGAGATGTACATTCAGCCGGAGCCGGATCAGTGTGACCACAAACTCCTGGAACTGAGGCAAGGCATTAATGGGGCTGTGCCTCACCAGTTCCTTCACGAGTGTAAAAACACCATTCAAAAGTTTGAAGTTTGGCAGTCCCGTGTAGAACTTGGTTAGTTCGTCGTCCCTCAGGAAGGCAGCATAAGTTAGGCACCGTGCGTTCAGGCTTTCCCGCAAGGAATAGACCTCCACCCGAAGTCGGTTGACCTCCTGGTTTAGGCGATCGGCAATTTCCCGCGAGCCGTCATCTGCCTGTGTTCCTGAAGAATAATGATTTGTTACCCAGACTGTTACACAAAGGTTTGGTAGCACAAGTTTGTGGGTGCTCTGGTAGTTTGAAACATGCCACCAGGTTGCCGGTAGGCTATCATTTATGGCCATCTCCATGAGGTGGCCAAGGGCACTGAGACATGAGAGGGGCACTCCGCCTTTTTGAAAAGCCAGCATTAAAAGGTATGTGCAAGGGCTTTCTGGGTCATGGCACGCGACAATAACGCCAATTAATGACTATGCGCTGCACGGGTGTGTCGTGTCATTCTCCGAGGCAGGCAGCAATAAAATCAATCCAACACCACTCCACATTCGACACCAGCGTCAGATTTTCCTTGCAGCTACCCGGCTCAGAGAACGACACAACACACTGGTTCAACACTCAGTCATGGCAACCATTCATTGCATGCTGCAACCGAAAAAGCTCCTCGCTTACTTTTTAGCTGACCTTTCATGAAAGGTGGAGCACCCCTCGCATGACTGAATGCCCTTGGCCCCTTTCAAATGTGGTGGTCACAAATAATTAACATGCGAGCAACCTGGTCGGACGTTTCATACAACCAGAGTAGCCACAAGCTTGATTTCTAACCAGAAGCGTACCTCTAGTAACCGTTATCTGCTCAACTTGACTTTGGTCGTCCGGTAGAGCAGCGTTCCCACCCAGTTGAGTTTCGATGTCCTCAGCTGGAGGGTCATCCTCAGCGGGAGGGCCGTCCTCAGCAGGAGAGCCATCCTCAGCAGGAGAGTCATCCTCAGCAGGAGAGCCATCCTCAGCGGAAGGGGGGCAGTCTTGAGCAGCTGAAGGGCAGGCGTATGCAGCACAAGTTAGAATTCCAGAGCTGCTAGCTGCTGGCAGGTCATCAAAAAGTAAATCGGAACCAGTTAACAGGAATTATAAAAGAGGGCGAATTTGAACACTATCTTAGGAAAGTGAGGTGGTGACATACCTTGCAGAGCCCTTTTGTTTGCAGCGCTTCTCGCCTTGCGACGGTTGTACCTGTTTGCAGAGTAAACAGAAGCATTGTACTTCATGCTAATATCCTTTTAACTGGGACCCATCCTTTTCCCTCACAGTATGTTACGTACCTGTCATTTTTGTCAATGACCTTTCTCTTGTACCCCAAATTCAGACTGGGGGCCCAGTCAGGATGGTCGATATCGAACAATGCTGATGGTTTGCCTAAAATTTCCAAACAAATAATTTTTAGATGATTGAAGCCAAAATGTTAAAATTTGTCGTTAGATCTTTAGACAGTGTGAGGTTAGCCTGCCAGAGATTTCGGTGACACTGCTTATGCGCAGTACATAAGCCATTTATCCAGTGCAGGACTGCTAGCCTGGGGTGTTTGAGGTGCACTACGCAGTACTGATACACGACCGCACGCCCGCACGACGCTTGTTTAGATGAGTATCGTCCCGGCGTGCGGTCGATCCTCACCCCTGCCTGTTTCGGTCTGGATGAGCATCGTCCGCCGTAGTTCTGCATCACTGGAATGCGGGCCCTGTGGTCGCGTTCTCAATCCGAACTCATTGTGACGGCACAAGGCGGCGACAAGCGACGAGATTTGCCGTCGCTGTCTCGTCGCTCGTTTCTAGACTTCCGGAACCCATCGCCCGTCACTGCTGCTCATCGCGACTTGCATGTGGTTTCGACGGAGTGAGCGGCAGCGGGTCCTGTCGCGTCGCATCGCTGCGTCGCATCGCTGCGTCGCTTGGGGGAATCGCTCATATGTAGTTTATATTCGCTCTTCCGTAACCGGCGGTGTCGATGCAAAGCTTGCACGAGCATAAACACGTTAGAAAAGGTCCATCACTCACCGCTAACGAAATGTATTCCGCAAACTCGATAGTGTGTGGCCGCATCATCGAAGTCGTCTCGCTTCAGCCTCCTCCACCACTCGCGCCATCGTTCCCTCGACAGACGCTCTGCCTCGGGGCCCTCCGATGTCACAATCGCCGGTATACGGTAGAAACCGCCCTTGAAGTTACCGGTGTCATTCTTTTTGTTACGCGAGCGGTTATTGCTGCCGAACGCGGCGCAGTTCACCATGGCTAAATGGCGGTCAACTCGACCAACTCAACCACCAGGATGGCCGTGGCCTGTGTGTGACGTCAACCTATGACGTACTTGCAAGGCATGTATACACCTTTCCAAAAAACGCTCCTAGGCCGCCGCCATGTTGCTGATGCTGATGCGGCTGGTGCGACTCTCGCGCCCTCTATCAGCTCGAAAGTTTCTGCC